CGCTCTCGTAGTCCTAATTAAGTTAAAGGACCTTAATAATATCGATATTTATAAAGAATATATTAATATCGAACTACTTATTATAACCTATAGTTTTAATTTTAATATAAATAATAGCCTCGTCGAGCTATTATAAAGCTTTTATTTAGAGCGGGAGGAGCGTAATACTAGCCTTATTAAGATTTAAAATAATATAACTAAGGGCTAGGGTACTATTATTTATACTAAAAAGAGTATTATAAGTAGGGGTTAGCGAGTCGTTAATATTAAAATAGTAGCGCTTATTACGATATTAAAAAAGAGAATTTTTTAAGTTATTACTAAGCTTTTTAAATTTAGTATTTTCGTACTAGAGCTTATTAAATTTAAACCCGAAGTCGTCTTACTTATCGTTATTATTAAAAATATAGTTAGTAATAAGAATACGTTTTTTAATAAGAGTCCGAGTCTTAGGATTATAAAAAATAGGGATAGCGCTATATATAGTAATAATATAAGTAAGTACTTTATTTATTAAGAACTTAGTAATACGTTTATAAAAAGTAAAGAAAGTAAGAAACTCTTAAATATATATAATAATAACGCCCTTAAGAGTCTTTTTATAGTACTAAGTTAGAGCGTTGAGGTTATTTTATAAAGCGGTCGTATGGTTATTATTATAAAAATAAGCCGGCTAAAAGTAACTAAGATAAGAGATAATTTTAGTCTTATTATTAATATTAAAAATACTAACTTAAGAAGAGAAATCTAAGTTAGTAAAAAGAAAATTTATTAAACGATTACTAACGACTTATTATAATCGAGATTAATAAGTTTAGATATTTATAGTTAGTAGCGAGTTCTTAAAAAGTAGTTTATTTAAAGTAAACTTTTTTTATTTTATTACCCGCTAATAAATTAGTAATATGAGTAGCGACCTTTTTTTATATATTAGTAATATAATTAAAAATATAAAAAACGCGGCTATACTTATAAAAGTTAAGGCTACCCTATTCCTCGGTATTATAGAACTTTATAAGGGTATTTTAAATAAACTAAGCAGTACTATATAGCTCCTCGGGAACTTAAGAAATATTATTAATAAATATTTTAGTAACGGATTAGTAAGGACTCGACGATTTATAATAGAATACTTCTTTTTATTAATTTAATAAATAATATACTTAGTAACGTAAGCGCTAGTAATATAAACGAGCTTATTAATATTATAATATATACTAACTAAGTAGCGTATATAGAGAGTACTATTATAGAGACTATAAAAGCTCTTTTTAAGATTATATTTTATATTAAGTATATTTTAAATATGCGAAATAATAAATATTTTAGTAAATATTTAGTAATAATATAGCGAGAGAGTTATAATTAAGAAACGATACGGAATTAGAATATTATAAAAAAAAAAGTATAGTTATATAAAAAAGAATTTATAAAACGGTTACTAAATAAAAGGGGGGAAAAAAAAGTAAATACGTAATTAGTAATAAAAAAAAAATCTTTTACTATATTTAATAGCTTAGTAATAATAATAATTATAAAGCTAGGTAAGCTTTTATATATTATGACGGTCAGAATACTTTATTATAAATATATATTACTAACTTAGTAACTAATTAGCGCGCTATTACTAAATAATAATAATAAAATATCCGTTAAATAAAGAAATAGGAGTAATATTTTATTTTTAAATAAAAAAGAATATTATTAACGCTTTATAAAATTTATTATAAATAACGACGTTAATAGCTTTATTATTAGCGTTAAAAGAAGATATTATATAATAATTTTAAGGACTAAAGTTACGTAAGGGGGGAGTAATTATAATAAATTTAGGATACGGCTAGTAATAGGACGTTAATAACTTAGTAACTAGTATACGGTTCGTATTATAAAAGAACTTTTTAAGAAGTAGAGCCCTTATAAAGGACTCTATAAGCTTTAGTTTTATAATATACTTATACTTATATTATAGCCTCGCTAGTTAAGTACTTATAGCCTAATCTTTTATATATAGGTTTTTTAAATTCTTAAATATAATAAGATATTAAATTTAGTACTTTATACTACTTAGGCTTTTTTTTTTAAATAATTATTAATAATCTATTTAGTTAAGTAATATAATACTAAATTTATAGTTATAAATAAAGAGTTATAAGTTCGAATCCTACCGTAAGTATTTATATTCTTAATTACGAACTTCTATAGGGCGTAGTTAGGAATATTAATTTTTAATTAGCCTAGCCCCGGATTTTTTTTTTACGTAATCTTATATTTAATTAAATATATTAAATATAAGGCCTTATGATATTTAATTATTTGACTTATTAAAATTCCTATATTTAACTATTTATTTAACTTATTTATTTAATTAATTTAAATGGGTATGTGCGCTGCTCATGCGCGACTTGTTTATGGTTGAACGATATAGACTAGGTTGTTAAATAGGTACTTAACACAATCGCTCGCTCTTTGGTTATTATCTTCTATTAACTAATAATATTTAGTCAACTTCTTTTATGACTGGTTTCTCAAATGACTCGATTATATTAACTAACACAACCTACGATTAATAATGTCTTGAACTAAGGTATGGTACTTAATTATCCAGCCGTTCTGTTAAGGTTTGGGCTTATATGCATACATAGATTGACCGAATCGAGTGGTCTCTCCTCCAATATACTATCTGTTGGTATCCCTATTACAGGGTAATTGGTTCGAACCGTGGGTTGACGAAGAGATCAATTGAACTATATGAATTTCTGCGTAGGTGTAAAAAGGAGGTTCCAACCGTAGGTTGGGCAGGCCGCGATAATCGTAAGTAGGGGCCGTAATTGGCCCCTGCGCGGCCGCCGTACGCCGAGGTCGAATTGGACTTCCAATCCGACACTATCTTTCCATGCTGGGTGGCAACGAATGATAGTCCGACTTCCTTATCATCAGTTCCTAGAACCGTGGGTCCGCAAAATAGAGGCAGTACGTTCCACACGGTATAACAACGTTTAATATACTTAGTTCAGGATCAAGCCCTGAGAAAAATAAATAAACGCATAGATGATATGTTCAGAATTGATGACCAAAGACATAGAGTGGTTGAAAATATGTCGAACAAGGCTCGGCATTGATTTCCAGAGGATTAAACAAGTTACCAACAATATGAGGATAAGTTAGCACTTAGCCACTGACCTGAAGTAACACTATCGATAACGTCCAACAGTATGCTATAGGAGGTGATCAGTGAAATCATGAGGTCAAAATATTTCTCTCTTTAGGCTATCTAGCTGCGGTTCCCTCGCGCTTTTGAACTCTCAGTCGACTGAAAAGATGCGAGTGACTCGGAATCTTCGGACTTTTCGGGTTTCTGTGATGTGGCGCAGGAGTTCTTTCGTAAATCATTGATGATGATGGATATCTAAGCCTCATGCATCCCTTGACTTCACGTGACCAAAGTAGTACAATCGGTCCGAGGACGTCGGACTCGGGTGATGTACGAGGTGTGCGAGGAGTCCGAAGGTCCCAAGCTTAGTATTGTATCTCCCGCCGGCACACTCCTTTATGGCAGAAGTACTAAAAGTCCCAAAAGACTGCCTGATTTCGAATCAGAATAACGGTTCCAATATCATTCTCTCCCTCTAGATCACTCTCATTCAACTCTAAGAGACTTGTCGTTCTGTTTCTTGGTGTGGGAGCTTGGCTAGCACACGATCATCAACTCAAAGCAATCGGCTACAACCTACACTTTCATTGGCCTCCCCGAAACAGTAAAGCTCTGAAGGTGGGGCTGACATGGACGGACTCAACTCGACGACAGGCGCTGGGGGTGCAGAGGCAGCTGCCGGGGAAGCATTTGACTTCCGACTTTACCGCTACACGCCATCTCTTCCGGCCGCCATAGTCAGTGCTGCCGTGTTTGCAGTTCTGACCATCCTTCATGTCTGGCGACTGTATCGAGCCCGAGCTTTTTACTTTACTGCCTTTGCTCTTGGTGGTATTTGTGAGTGTGGCCCTGCTGAGAATTTGCCCCCTACTCGGACTCCCGAGGCTTCTTGTTCCATTGAAGGCTTTGCAGAACTGCCCTCCCATCTGCCGGGACTGAAGATACTGACTTTGACTTTGCAGTTCAGACGATAGGTTACTGCGGACGAATATGGTCACACTTTGATACCATGGCCATCGGCGGCTTCGTCATACAGGCCATCCTGATCCTTGTCGCCCCGGCCTTGTATGCAGCTTCGATTTACATGATACTCGGCCGGCTGATTCGAACTCTCCGAGCCGACAACCTTTCCCTGTTGCCTGTGCCATGGGTCACGAAGATTTTCGTCACTGGAGATGTCGTCTCGTTTACAATGCAGGCTGGAGGAGGCGGGATTCAAGCAGCGGGAACCCTGAAGCTCTACGATATTGGCGAGAAGATCATCATTGTCGGCCTTCTAGTTCAGATTGTTGTCTTCGGGTTCTTCATCATCACGACTATCCTATTCCATCATCGAATCAGTTGGAAGCCTACATCGGTCGCCATCGAAGGGATCGTCCCCTGGCGAAGATACCTCTGGGTCCTTTACAGCACCAGTCTTATCATTCTCGTACGAAGCGTCTTCCGAGTCATCGAATACCTTCAAAGTAACCGCGGGTACCTTATTTCACACGAAATATTTCTCTACATCTTCGATACCGTTCTTATGGTCGCGGTCATGGCGATTTTCCTGGTTTGGTATGTTGAAGACCTGGAACAGAAGGTATCAAGAAAAGACCGAGATACATTAGGCTCCAGCGATAGTGCCTGTATGTTGGAAGAGCTTTCTAGAAGGCATACTGGCCGGAAATAGGTGGTGAAGAATAGCAAAGCTGGTTGTCCGTCAGTGTCTAGCGTTGCTAGATTGGACCATGTACGATAGAGAAGCATCGCACGAGTGAACTTTAGGCTTGACACATTCGTCGCCCGCTGTATCGATGCGTGAAATTATATAGGCACTGGGTAGTGGAAGATGTAGACGTGTTGTTCATAGACAAAGTTCATGGGTTTCCATTGCTGGATCTCTGATCCACGACCTATGCTCATGGTCTAGCATACCATACGTCTCTGCATAGAGGTTATTTGCCCAACCGTCCAGCCACCAGCGACTTCGCAAGCGCTTGAGAAGCATGCAAAAGTACAAGAATATCACCAACGCCTTTTGTCTATTCTCTCTCAGCAACGGGAGGAAGTCGTCTGCAACCATGGCAATCCAGATGAACACATCAGTGATGTCTTGAGGCTCTGCGGACTCATAGAAAGCGCCATAAGACTTGTAGAGCTCATTGATGGCCCTGTTGTATATCTCCAGAAGCCCATTATCTGGCTCTGATGCGTTGATATTTGCTTCCAGGTCTCCAAGATGCGTGTGGTGATATGGTCCTTCTCGATACTGGAAGTGTGCAGTAATCCGCGTAATAATTGGTGAGATTAGAAGATTGTCGTTCGGTTCCCCCACAAGATACCGGGTCCCGCAGAATAGGACTATCCAGTCGGGAGATTGGCCTGCACTGGCTAGCGGCGATTCGTGTAGATATTGCGAATTGGCTAGAACTGGGAGTGGAGAAACAGGTCAGCATACTCTTCCTGCAGCGAGACCGAGAACGAGAACTCTTACCGATGTAGATAGTCAAGACTGAGAAGATGAACAAGTGTGCTTTATTCTCGTCTTGGACGTGCTCCATCAAGCCAACAGCTGTTCTCGAGGAGATTTCGTGATGCACCATCGACTTCTCCAGTAACTGGTCTTTCCTGTCGGGTCTTAGATTCGCAAGATGCAATGCTGCCAGCGAGAGAATGCTCCTCATGACGTAGTCGGTTTCTAGCCCGAGTTTGACGACATTCAGCCGCCAGAAGTCCCCGAGCAGCGGGTTGTCTGATAGAGTCTGCGCGGTAAAGTTGCAGTAATGATGCAGGAGTTCAAGGTCGAGAAAGTTCAACTCGCCCGCATGCTGAGAAAGGGTCAACATGGGGTCGAGTGACGGTGAGGATAGAAAGCCGCAAGCCACGCCATGTTTGAGGCAGTTTTTGCAGGCTGGTCGCTGCTCATCACACTAGAAGAGTCTCGTAAGTCAATTTCCGGTTTCTAAACATTTGAGGGAAGAATGAAGATGTTAATCCCACCGGCCCGGCCCCCAAGGACGAGACACTGGACAAGCATGGCGGCTTCTAGACCAGGACTACTGATCCTGGTACTACAACCCACTATCACGCGTGCATTCAAGCCGTACACAGCCGTAGTACCAAACATGCTTACCTTGATCTTCCTCGATTTACAAGTCTTACAGCCTGTTCGAGTCTTTGGATGCGCCCGCCGTGACGGGTTTGGTTGCATGTTCGTACTCGGTGCTGTCCGATGACAGCTACGCGGCGGATCGAGTCGGTGAACAACGATTCGTTAAGTAGGTATCACACCACGGCGTTTCCGCCATGACAACAGACTCGACGAGACAAATCGCTCTTGGCCAAGCTCCGGCGATAGATGATTACGCCCTGATGCAGCGTAGAGAGATACGGCTGTTGATTAATAGAGGGGACGCATAACCTGCATCCAACCCGCGGACGCCTTCGTACTCCAGTCGTATTCGCACTTTCTCGGGTGGTGTAAGGGGCTAGCTTAGACGGACAAGTTCCATTGGAAAGCTCGGCGCCACACTCAAGCGTCACCTTGTCTTGGATCGGCTGCTGATATTCCGCTGAGTCAGGTAAACTAGAAGACACCCAGCAGCAAAAATCCTATTCTCAGCTAGATAATGTTGTGTTATTCACCAACACCGGTCCACCGCGCTGCCCAGCCGTGCCAGCCTAGCCCCCACAGAAAATTAAATATCAGAAAACTCGGGTTGTGCAGGATAGGCGAGCAGTACGTAGAGCTCGCCTGGCAGCTTCTCCGACTCTGAAACCCAGCATCTGTACCGCGACCAACCAGATCGCCACCTAAGTAACCGGGTGCGCGTAGAGCTTTTGCTTAAGCGCCCTGAGCCCGGCTCGTGTATCCGATCACACCATCTACTGCCCGTTAATCTAGCAAACCACAAGGCATCTCTTATTCGCGAATCTCAAAAACACCCGGTGAGACTTGTAGTTCCCCAGCTTTAGACTTAAGTTCACGGCCTGATTACGTATAAAGCTTGGCATTTGCTTATCCTTTAGGCGTGACTGCTGCCAATAAGTGAGTGTACTTCACGACTTGGAGTTTCATGTTAAAAACCTCATTGCTTGTCAAATAATATGCTTCCCTGTCAGAAGGTGCCGCCAAACGTCTGTCTACCGTGCCGCAACCAGCGACCTGGTCATGCCGCTGGTGGGGGAGCAGGTTTTCGCGACCTCGGTAACTATACGACAGTACAGGGGCATCTGATAGGTCGCTACAATTCTAATTTTTCTACATTTTGGCGTGATTCCACGAGTCAGGGGCGTGTCCATGGCTTAAGAGACCACGCTGTCCTAGTCTGGAGTGATGAAACCATTAGTATGAACGATGTCTGATTTGGTGCTTTGATGCGGACACTGCCGGCTGGAGCCGACTAAGCGGTCGGAGTGCGGGCCGCTTGTAAGATGTGCCAGCCTGACAAGCCAGTCGGGTCCGATCTTTACATTTTCGACCTATCCCCTAAGTCCCCAAACCCCCACCACCTTGTGTCGGCAGGCAGTATCAGCATGACTTTTGCAGTTTTGCAGCTCACATGTCGAAGCTAGAAGGCCCGGACTTCCCCGGACTTCTCGGTCACTGGCCCGGAAATACGGCAATACCGGCATCTTTTGGCGAGTTTCCGAACGTCAGATTAGACTTCACGTAACGCCCTTGGGTGATCCTAGTATGGGTCAAATCCCAAAGGTCGAACGGAACCTCCGGACCATGACCTTCATGACAGAGTAGCCTAATTTTCAAACTTTTCTTTGACGCTATTCGTTCGCAACTTCGTCCGCGACATTAGCGATATGAAGTATATCATGAGTGAAATCTATAACGTAACTGAATATGCGCGAGGCACTATTGAAGATTTCATTGAGGAGTTGGGATCAAGAATTCAGGCTAACGTATCGTTGTGGATGCGTAGGAAACCAAACACCCCGCTCATAAACTTGCTAGGCCCGCGACAATGGAACCCTAGTGGGGGCATCGTGGGTTTCGCCCTTCACACACTCGCTACTTGAAATCCTGCCTTCCCAATGTTCAACATCGAAGATCGTGGCGGACATAGCTCAGTTGGGAGAGCGTCAGACTGAAGTGGAATTCTTTCCTGAAAACTTCATTCAAATCATCTGAAGGTCGTGTGTTCAATCCACACTGGCCGCATCTTCTATTTTTGCAAATGATAAATAAATAAGTATGCTTGCTATCAGTAAGTGTTCCCGAATTGGTGATGTAACTTACTTCCAGTGAATGAAGCAAGTAGTCACTAAATACTGACTCCGTACTTGCTTCACTTCCTCAGTTTCGCCGAGATAAGCAAACAAGGCAAACAAAGCAAGGAGACTAGAGTTGATTTGTTACGTTACCGCAGTCTGGCCTTTTTGATATATCATGCATTCAACACAGGGTCTTCCACTTTTCTATCCCTTCGCTGTCGTCTACCTCGTAAGTAAGCTATGAAACTCTTCCTGATATTGTGGCTTTGGTTCCAGCATCTCTTAGAGAGGGACCCGGTTTCAGACAAGGTGTAAATTCGCCTGCCGAGAAGGAACTCGAAAAGTCTACGCCGGTTATAAACTTTAAATAGAGCTAAATAGGAAACACACGCGTCGAGGCTGCGAATTTACCTATTTCTTGGGACGCGCTATGTCAATTGAGCACACGGTGATATATCACCCCGCACGTTCACCGCCTGTTCTGCAATGTCGTGGTGTTTGAGTTGTCAGTCGGCTGTCTAGATAGTACCTAAAGTCGTTTCATATTTGGCTGTCCATTGGATGAACGTGGCAGCTCCTATGAATCTGTAGATTTGTCTGCTTGGCGGATGACACCACTGTCCGGGAGTTAGGACAGTCGTCTGAAATGCCACAAGTTACAACTTAGCCTTCCGTGTCTAATTGCAGACTACGTTGGCCACGATTGATCGTCAAAACTTTCTCTTAGACAAACTTGGACGAGATGTCTCTCAGGCCTACCTGTGATATCACAAGAAACACAGGCGGAGTTTGTGCAAACATAAGATTGAGGAACCAATAAGAACGGCGACTCTCCTATCACATGCGATCAAAAATGCAAGGGAAGCTAGAACAGACAGACCGACAAGCGAAGCAAGCAGCAAATTCGTAGCACGAGTCCTGAATTAAATCTCGTATCTGCTGGCTCGGCCGAAGAACTACCTGTGGGTTCGGCATATTGGCCTCTTGGAGATGAATTATGTGAGGCAATTCTGAGATAGATGCCGCAACGCCTTGCAGTCCAAGATTCAAGCAATCCTGTACTACGGCTACCGGTCGTTCATTCAGAATTTACAGTGCTTTCAATGGATATATACTTGCACAACAACTGTTACTGTCAGCTATTCAACGTAGACCAAAAGTGTTAACCTCAGCAGATGGCATCGGCGTATGACAGCATCATGTTGAACAGAGCTTTGTGTTTCCAGAAATTTCTCAGAAGTTGACTATGAGAAGGTAGCATAATGTTTTCTTCCCTGTTCGTGTCCAGTCCTCGCCATCACATTCACTGTTAGTCCCTAGGGCCACCTCTTTCGATCAACCTTCATCTGCTTACACGTCTCTCTAAGAGGGTCAACAATTCTACATTCTTCTATTTCTCTCAAGATAGAGTGCGTCGAAACTTTGCTTCCCTTCCATCCAGCACCGGCGACGTCGCCTTGAGAAACAAATCTCAGAGCAATAAAGTGCTTGAAAAGGCCCAGAACAACGAAGAAAAGTGGCAGATACTAGTCATGTGCCCGGATACAGAGGCTGCAACCTCAAGGGCTCTGTTGGCGATTCCACCACCATCATCGCTCGCGAGTTCAGGGATGACACAATTATCAGCGGGAGATCCGACGCGATCACCTCGAATGACCCACAGTACGAACTCCTACCATGGGTTCCGTTGGAATGGATAACATGATGGGCTTGTGTCCTGCGGTATCGACAGTGCCAAGTACTTGAACACGTATGCGAGAATCCTTAATACAACGGGCATCCCAAACAGTCCCCATAGAGCTCTCTCGGGATCGGACTAAAGATGGGCTAGGTTTGCTTGATTAATGGAAGCTTATCTCGTCGATGAAACGATGGGATCATGTCATACACCCTAACGCATTTCCAAAACCATCCAATCATTCCGGTACTTGCCTGTCACTCGAGCTATGGGGTGGCATCAAACACATGTTCGCGAGCACAACCCTGGTAGGATCTTGAGCTTGGGCTGAAACTTGTCTTTCGTTATCGTGTAATCATTGACTAGACATCATCTGAGAATCCATAGTTATCTTTCCAATGCTTGGTGTCTCCGAAGGCTCACATAGGCATTCCAGAAACGTGTGATTGCGCTACTCCAAGTTGATGTTTGTCTCGAAATATTCGCCAGACGCAATAGCTTCTCCATCCATGACCCCACTAACGTACGCATCCCCAATGAGCTCGTACCTGCCTCCCTTCGTAGGCCGAACCACGAAAGGAACCTCGGAACCAAGAAGCAAGCATATCGAATCACCAACCTTTGCATTTCTGGGCACCAAGCACAGCCTACCGACCGCTGTGCGAGAGAACCTCCGTGGGCTGGCAGCAGCCAGGATAGTCATCTCCACCGTCACAGCAGCCGCGACGAAAGCCAATCGTGCCTTATTCGCCTCTTCGGGGTCTTCGGAGACGAGCCAGGTCTCCATGTTCGTTATCATATCCTTGATAGACTCCGAAAGGTCCACGTCGATGCGGTCGCTCAGCTGGCTTCTCTCAGACGTCAGGGTCTTCCAGAATTCAGAGAGGCGTTCAGGGGACATGTCTTGAATGCGATCAGAACCTGACGCAACTCGAACGC